ATCGGCCATGCGGCGGAATCTTTCGACCCCATCTACTCCGACTCCTAGATGAGGCCTCTAGTTTGGCGCACGAGGGAAGGTATCCCACATGATTCTGCCATCGGGAACGCCAGTCCCAGGGGAGCTTCGAAGCTTATACCCTCACAGTGTCGCGTCGGGGTATTAGCTTTCCAGCCGCCCTGCGGCAGGCGCCCCGACTGCACAACAGTTTGCTTTATACCGCTATTCGTCCGGTGAGAGGTCGTGCGCAGCTACTACCCGGAGATGCGCGAGCTGATCAAGAGGGCCTCGGGGGCGACTCGTGTGATGATCTTCGACCACACGGTCCGCAACACCGCGAGCACCAGCCTGAACGCACAGGCCGTCAGCTGTGGACAGCACAGCTCAGACACTGACAACAGGACCACTCTGTTCTCATGAGTTGTTCCTGCCCCTTTCTATCCGTGGCCGAGACTCGCCGGGGCCAGAAACGCCCCTTCGCTCCTTCTTCGCGATTCTTTCCCACGACGCGAGCATGCCTGGTCTCCCACCTGGCCCCTTTGTCCACGATGGGCCACGGTGCGCTAGCCCCCGCTCCTATGGTCGTCCATGCGCAGAAGGGGGGTAGGGTTAAGTCGGGTCTGTCCCTCTACAGGAGGAATATTCAAACATATTCAAACATTAGTCTGGGGACGATGTTTGACTATGTTTGAATCTGTTTGGAGTATGTTGTGTGTGTTTTTGTTAATCCGTCTCTAGGGGGACATGCCCGACCTAAGGGTAGGGGGACGGGGAGGGCTTCTTAGAAGCACCCCTGCTCCTTAGAAGGCGCAGGCCTGATCTATAGATGCAAGGACGGCGCATTCTGAGAAGCAGCCTCCTTCTAAGAAGCATCCCCCCTCCCCCTCGACCCCCTTGCGCGCGCCGCCGATACGGTGGGGGCGTTGGTCAAGGAACGTGCCCAGCATGCTTCAGTTCCTGGAGGCTTCCTTATGTGTGCGGGCGGTGGTGTCATGAATGGTCAATCCACAAATCGAGTTCCATTGGCTTCTAGACCCTGGATTCCTAAACCAATGGTCATCGAAGACGCCCACGGCGAATCACTGCCGCCCCCTGCATTTTAGGATACGCCTATGTGGCCAAACGTTTGGGTACAATTTGGCCACCCTATTGGACTATGCGCTCCCCCGGCCGTTGTGGAAGCCCTTCGGGGATCACGTGGTGGAGGAGGAGGAGAATGAGGGTTCCGAGTCGAATGGTTCATTATTCGATGCCCTCAGTATGGCCCCCTCGCGCACCCGACCTCCTTGCGCTTCCGTCGCCGAGGCCGGCGGGACCGCCGCCCCGGTCCCCCGGGTGCATTGCGACTATACTGCGGACGGCGCGCCGAGGAGGCTGATGCAGTTTGCCGACGACGGGGTCTACTCGCACCTGAGGCCAGGCCCGTCCCCAGACCTCCAACGCATGGAAGAAATAAAGACGGTGCGTTTTCGTCGTGTTCAGACACCGCGGGGCCTCGCCGGGCTCCGGGACCATCAAAGATCGATTCGGGATGAAAGGTCGGCCCTGAGGCAGGGGTGGGGACCTCCAGGGACCGCATCTTGGAAAAATCATGGCATAGGATGTCTGGGTATTCGATTGTTTCGTCGGTTACGCTGGGGTGTCTTGCCTCGGGGTGCGTTCTGGCAGCTGCGCCTCAGCGAGTGCGTTCCAGGGGTATCCGGATCGTCCCCAGCGGCCGCTGGAGACCGAAAGCCGATGCCAAGACCCATGTCGATCCGATCGATCCCCGCTGCTCCGACAATCCGAGGCGGCCTGGTGCCTCCATGGCGATGTTGTGCATCCTGGCGCAGACGATCCGATCCAGTCTCGATTCCGTGCCGCTGCAGCCCGATCCGACGCACCTTCCGATCTGGTCTGATTCCCCAATGAGAAGTTGAGTGGTCCTGTCTGAGGCAGCGGAAGCTGGTCAGGGCGGACATCGAGCAGCTTGCGGACCAACGCTTCGCGTTCATCTCCGCAGACGGCATATGTGTTTGGATCACCGCGAGGGGGTGTTGAGTGGATCAGGGTGATTATGGATGCATGCTAAGGCGGACCGAACCTGGCTTATAAGTGGGTAACAAGTGCCCATGTTGCTCGAGGTGTTTCGACGCCCCCGCTAAGTGGGCGCAGCCCACGTGGCTCGGATCTCTAACGCCCCTGATCTTCCTAGGGCACGCGTACCCCGCTTGTGAGCTGGACTCGGCCAGATACAATCCACCGTTGCTTCCACTCATACAGTGAAGACCCATGCCAAGAAACACACCCTGCTTGCCTCCAGGGTGCCCTTTGTTTCTTGGGCGTCGATGGTTTTGCAATGGAAAGCGTGACGTTCCGACACCCAAAAACAATGGACGTCCTGGGGTCTCGGGGCTGGGATTCTTGTGGGTGGTCTTTTGTGAATCAGCTTCCACTGTAACTCCCCGGTCCCCTCTGCAACCTATGCGATACTCCAAGCAGTCACAGCACCAGTCGGCTGCGAGCGAGGGGGGGGGGAAGTGAGAAGGAGAAGGCCTTCTCAGAAGGCTCGGAAGTCCCCTGGACTTCTGAGAAGTTTCCTGAGCCTCCCCCGAAGACAGAGAGAACACTTCTCAGAAGGCGCCAGGGCTTCTGAGAAGCCCCGCCGCCTTCTGAGAGGGCCTTCTCCCTCTCATTTCCCCCCCTCGCTCGCCGCCAAACCGTCCTGTCTTTCTCACCTCCCTCCCTGTCTTCGGGGAAGACTTCGGAAACTTCTCAGCAGGCTGGGGAACTTCCGAGCCTTCTGAGATGGCCTTCTCCTTCTCAACTTCCCACCTTTCGCCCGCCCCCGATCCAAGCAGTCACACCTCCAGCGCGTGCCCGGGCCCCGGAGCGCTGTGCACAGAGGCCCTCCTGGCCGAGGCCGGCAGTGTCTCCGTGCACCCTCGCGGGGCCGAGGAGGCCCCGACGGCCGTGGCTCGGCTGCACGCCAGGGGGAACTCGGGCAGGTCGCGCTGCATCACCGGCTCACCTCAGGAGGGAAAAAGGACACACAGACACGAGTAATCGTCGATCCAATTCCCAGGAAACTATGCGAAAACATGGGAGGTGGGGGGTAAGGCAGAAGTCCAGGAAATATCTGAAAATATTGTGATTCCTGGGGTTCGTGTGTGTATTTATTTTGTGTGCTTCTGGCTCCTTCCATAAGATAGGTGATGGTGATGAATGAGCGCGCATTATTTAAACAAATACAGCTGGTTGAAACAACGATAATTTACGAGAGCGAGAAACGGATATATTGAATTGCGCCGCCGAATCAAAACAAGACAAATCATCTTTTCATGAACGCAAGAATTCGTTTCCTAAATTCAAAAACGGATTTCCTAAATCTGGGCCCGTTTTTCTAAATCCCAGATCCTGTCATTACCATGACTTGATTGGCTCGATCACTACAGGAGGACTCTTCAAAAACAGTCAAAACATAGACTGGGGACGATGGTTCTGTTATGTTGGGCTATGTTTGATTTTTTTCGACTAGTTTTGATCTGTCCTCCAAGATCCGCCTGCAGGAGGACATGCCCGACCTAAACGTAAGAGTGACCCTTCGCAGGAGTGACCTGTGGCGCGGGCACACTGGAGTCCCCAGGTGATTGAGCGCGATGCGATAGCAGCGTCCAGCGCGCCCGGGTTTGGCCTCCCCACGGCCTCCGAACGTCGCGCACGAAAGGTCACTCTCGCTCAGGGTCACTCCTGCGTGTAGCCGACGCGGCGTGCAGATGCCGCCTGCGGATCGTCAACGTGTGGCGCAACATCCTGGAAACGCCCGTGGAGCGTCTCCCGCTCGCGGTGTGCGACACGAGGACGGTGCCCAAGGAGGACTTCTTCCTCTACGAGCTGCTGTTCCCCGACCGGACGGGCGAGAACTACTCCCTGAGGTCGAACAAGGAGCACCAGTGGTACTACTACCCGCGGATGGTCAAGGACGCGCGGCCGAGCGTGCACCCAAAGAGGGCCAGCACGAAGAGCGCAGACGCAGCACCCCGCCATTGCGGACAAGAGTGCTGGGAGGCCAGGAGAGGGAGGAATGGAAGCGGGAAGCGAAGCTACGACTAGGTCGGGCGTGTCCCCCTACAGGGGGGCTTTGGGCGGAAAATTCAAAATGCTCAAAAAACATGGTCCCAACATGCTCTCGAAAATAGTCGAAAAATAGTCCCCAGGTTATTTATTTACTATTTTTGAATTTTCCTCCTGTGGAAGGACAGGCCCGACTACCAGCTACGAGCAGGCGGCTCTTCAGGCAGCTCGCCCTCCCTGCGCGCCCTCCCTGCGCGCCCTGCGAGCGTGCTCTCCCGGCGCGCTCTCTGGCGTCGCCTCTCTTGCTCCAGCCATGTGCGCGCAGGGATCCTGCGGGACCGTTCGGGGCCCCCTTTTTGATCTGCCGGCAAAGTCGAGGAAATGTTGGCTACTGGGATGATGGTGCCCTGGCCCCCGGCATTGCGGGGAAAGCAAGGATGCCAGCAATGATGATATTAGAAAACGTTGGGAGGAGAGGGAGGAGGAGGAGGAGGAGGAGGAGGAGGAGGAGGAGGAGGAGGAGGAGGAGGAGGAGGAGAACAGTGAGGATCCGTCGTCGATATTTCCCAGCGTTTTCGACCCTATCTCGGCGGCCAATGTTTTGTTGAGAGTTGTTGATCGATTGCCCTTGGCATCGGACAGAGGTCAGGGCCGACAACGTAGCAGAAACACCTTCGTCTCCGCCGCATGGAGACTTGGGTCGGCCGAGCAAATCACGCAGAGAGCCAATGGCAGGGGGCCGTGAAAGCGGCCAGAACCTTGGCACCCAACGTTCGTCTCCGCCGCATGGAGACATGGGTAGGCCGAGCAAATCACGCAGAGAGCCGATAGCAGGGGGCTGTGAAAGCGGCCAGAACCCAGGCATCCCACGACTCGATATATTTTCGAGGCTTGGCTTCCCGGACTTCTCTCGTGTGCTGAGGGTCGTTGTGCAGGCCTTTCATCTTGAGCTGTGTTCTGATGGCCCGAACCTCCGAGATGCGCTTCCAGGAGGAGGAGGAGGCGGAGGAGGAGGAGGAAGAGGAGGAGGAGGAGGAGGAGGAGGCAACCTGGTGTCTGGGCTGAGACGGCTCCAGCCGCAGAGGCCTCAAGAGTTCGGGCTCGGAGAGGGGCAGCGGAGGGCAGCGCCCGCTGCCTGGCGTCGCTCGGTCGCGTGCAGTTTTTTTTGGGTGGCGAGGGCCATCAAGAAACATCCTGGATCATCTTGCGAAACAAACACGCGCGACATGATAGTTTTGTCATTGCTTGTTTTGCCGATCGGCGCGGGCCCCCACCCCCCCCTCCCCCCCCATGGAGTAGATCTTGGCTGTTTTTGTTGGCGCCTGTTTCGAGCAGGTGGGGTCTCCCACAGAGGCAGCTCTCTTGCAAACACTCGCACTAAGCAGGTGTCTGGAGCCAGACCCCCCCTCCTCCCCCTTTTCCGCCCAATGTCGAATCGCCGAATAAAAAATGCTAACCTGGATCATCTTGCGATACATACACGCTCGACATCGAAAAATGCACGGGGAGTGGACGTCCGAACGACGGCAAGGCTGGACAGTGGGGTCTTGAGGGGAGATTGCACGCTCCCAACCGCACGAGCCCTTGAGAAGTGGCACCGCGCGTGCAACGTCAGCCCTGAGGCAGCACGAGCCTGCACGACCGGTGCCCATTCTTCGGCGACGTAGGAGGGGCGAGCGTCTGGGAGGAGGTCAGGAAGAAAAACGAAACGCGCTCTCCGCTGCAGATCCGTAGAGCCACCAGCACAAAGCAAAAGCATATTTGGTACGTATCGGTTGGTTCAGTTGCTCTTTTGTTGGAGTTTGTTCTGTTTAGCTCCCGCCCGGCAAGTTGGGGCTGCTATGCTGAGAGGAAAGAGCTCCCGGCCCGCCTCGCACACCGTGCATGCCGCGGCCGCAGGCCTGAAGTTAAGTCGGGCCTGTCCTTCTACAGGAGGAACATTCAAGAATAGTCAAACAATTGTCTGGCGACGGTTTATGTGTATATATATATGTGTATATGTATAGATGTGTATGTATATATATATATATATATATATCTGTCTCTCTATATATAAATATATATGTATATTGTACATTTGCTTTTTTATTGTTTCGTCCAAAATCCGCCTGTAGATGGACGTGCCCGACGTAAGCCTACAGTGTGTCGGTGCTCTCTGGGGATCCCGCTCAGTCTCATCGACGAACGACGGCTGCATGCCGCGGCCGTCAGGCCCCGAGGGTGCTGGTGTCCCTGGGGATCCCGCCTGAAGGTGCTCGGGTGGGGATCGCTCGAAGCAACATGCTCGAGCGTGTTTCCTTATAGCTTGGGGTATAATGGGCATCCCCCCATCCCCCCCCCCCTATAACGTAACGCCCCTCCCCCTCCCCCAGGTGCGCTCCGGGCACTGCCGCCGTGCGCACGGCGAGGGGGAGGCGTTACACCATACCCCCCGCCCAGCACCCCCTGCCTCCCCCCCGAGAATGCCCATTCTCGCCGAAAAGAAAGAAGCGCGCTCTTCGTGGTCAGTGTGCTCTGCTGTGGTTCTCCAGCCCCGGCCGCCCCGCGCCGGGAGGACGAGTGCCTCGTCTTCAAGGTCTACGACAAGCAGGAGGACGGGCCGCGCTTCGTGTTCCACACGGCGTTCGACGACCCCCTCACCACGCCAGAGTCCCCGGCGCCCGCGGGCCTCTAAGCAAGGACATGTCCCGTAAGCATGCAGCCACGACGCAGATGTAAGAGTAAGGACCGCCCCTCGGGCTCCGGAGGGGCCCTGGTTTTCGCGCCGCTCCTGAGATCCACGTCGGGGAACCTGCACCCATGGCCGAGACCCGCCGCTCCAGGCCTCCTAGATGGGGCCCGAGTAGATGGGGTCGAAAGTTCCCGCCGCATCGCGGATGCATCGGCGATGCGGCTCGATGCGGAGACTGGGTTTCCCAACGCCGACGTCTCCGATGTATCGCCGACGTCGCCGATGCATCGCCGATGCATCGCCGATACATCGGCGATGCATTTGCGATGCTGCGCGATCCTTCGACACCATCTACTCGGACCCCATCTAGGAGGCGTCTAGCCGTGGCCAGAGAAGGCCTTGCGTTCCTTGGTTTGCGCTCCCCATCGTGCCAAACCGCACAGTAAGGAGGAGCGACCTTTTCAAGACTGCCCGTTTGCATCCTTGCCCCTTCGGCCAAGACTTAGCGATATCCCTCGTTCGAAAACCGCTCACATGGGCCTCCAAGGCCCTCGCAGCCTTACCGCGCATCCTTATCATACGGGCTGACTGCATGTGCAGGGTCGGCCCCGGCCCCGCTCTTTCGGCGGCGCCAGCGGCTCCGCCCCAGGCGCGCTCCGCGCGCCTGGGAGGGTTCCAGCGGTGGTGCATGACATCCGTCACGGGCATCCGACAGCTTAACCCAGTGCCTCCTCCTCCTCCTCCTCCTCCTCCTCCTCCTCCTCCTCCTCCTCCTCCCCCTCCCCCTCCTCCTCCTCCTCCTCCTCCTCCTCCTCCTCCTCCTCCTCCTCCTCCTCCCCGTGTCGATGAAATTTAATTGTGGAGAGGGGCGCGGAGGCCGGACTTAAGAATCATTGGGGGAAGTTCCGAGCCGAAGTTACTATCATTTTATGTTGAATAACATCAGCCCAAATAAAACGCTGAACATCTTCAGCAATAGCGAGCGTGTGGCACGGCTATGGGGCTCTCACCATTTCAGTTTTCCCAAGTCACGAGCGTGCAGCAGTGCCATGGGACGCTCACCTTCTCAGCCGTTCCCGAGTCAGGAACGTGTGGCAGGGCCATGAGGGCCGATTGGGTTTTGAAGTTGCATGTGTTTTTCGAGCAAGGGGAGCATTGGAGTTTTTTTTCGCGTATCCCTCACACGGTTCGTGGCCACTCATCCTTCTCCTCCTCCTCCTCCACCTCCTCCTCCCTCCTCCTCCTCCTTCTCCTCTTCCTCCTCCCTCTCCTCCTCCTCTTCCTCCTCCTCCTCCTCCTCCTCCTCCTCCTCCTCCTCCTCCTCCTCCTCCCCCCCGCAACTGCCCAGGCACGGGCTTCCTCGAGTCTCCGAGACTCCAAAGCGTCGAGCCTTTTCGAGGCACCGAGCTGCACCCCCCCCAGGGGCAACGATAGGGGGGGATCAAGCATAAGGGGACGCATCGATCCCCAATCGCTCATTGATCGCAGAGAGTGTTCGACAGCCCGAACCTGCCCATCGCCGATGCATCGGCGATGTATCCCCGATTCCAGGTCGATGTTCCCCCTCCCCCAACGCCTACCCCCCCCCCACACACATCGTTGCCCCTCAGTGCGTCGCGAGCCCCAGCCATGTCCCAGGCCGCCGAGCGTGCCCAGGCGGTGACCCAGCAGGTCGAGGCACTGATGAACGTCGTGACCCAGAGCGCGAGCCCGAATTCGAACGATATTCTCGAGCGCATGGCTAAGCATAACGAGAAGATCCCCGACGAGCTGTCTTTCATCGCGGACAAGATCGCTGTGGCCGAGATGCGCCAATGCCAATCGAGCGCGCAAGGCACTGACGCAGCAATAATGACTGCCTGATTCTCAAGGCGGACAGCGCCTCGTGGTCGGCGAGCGCCCAGCAAGCCGCCCTCCAGATGGTCTGCAACGGCGGTTCTCTCAAGGGCACCGAGTACGGGCACATCTTCAACGAGAAGGACAAGAGGCGCGTCGAGTCGGCGGTGGCGGTGTTCTACCAGACCCGCTGCGAGAAAGACAAATTCCTCTACGACACCTTCGAGAATCATAGAGGGCCGCCCGAGAACCTCCTCTGGCTCATGCCGAGCTGCAGATCGAAGATGCCCGAACTTGCCTAGAGGAAGGACGTCGAGCTCGGAGCCGAGAGCGCCCGGCGCCTCAGCTTCGGCCCCTACGTCGAGCGCGTCGGCAAGGCCCTCCCTGACCAAGTCCTTCGCCGAGCGGCGCAGAGCATTGACCACGCGCGAGCCGCCGCGCAAGCGGTCAAGTGGCGCTGGGGCCGCCCTGCCGACATGGCGTTCGAGCTCCAGCGGGGCAGCTGCATGGGCGAGCGTTCCAAGCATGACTGCGCAAGCGCCGAGAGGCAGTTCAAATTCGAGACGATGGTTCTCGACCCGCACATCAAGATGCGTTCGGCGTGGTCCACGACGACCGCGAACAGATGTTCAGCCGGCGCGAGCCCGAGGACAGCGAGGCCGACGCGAAGGCCGAGCCAGAGGCCGACACGGCGACGCCGAGGGGCGCCTGAGAGCCGAGCGGCGGCGAGCGGCGCGCGCCTGGCGCACGAGCGCCCCGGGCCAAGCGCCCCCGGCGAAACGGCCACATGCGAACTCACACATGCGCCCCGCGATTTCAGAGGGGGAACGCAGGGCTCACTTTGTTCGGGAGCTGCCGAACGAAGTGAACCACACCCTCCTCCTCAGGAGCCGCGGGCAGGGTTCGCATGTGGCCTCCCGAGGCCGTCGCGGGGATCCTCCGCAAACTCGGCGCCACTTGCCCTGGCGAGACCTGCCCTGCGAGGAGCAACGAGATGTTCCAGGCCGACGCCTGGTCCTGCGGCCTGTTGGCGAGTCGCTGGATCGAGCGCGCCCTGCGCGAGATCCGAGGCGAGGGCCGCCTAGCGCCCGCGAGCATCAGCGCGATGTTCGCTCGAGGCAACGAGTGGGTCAACATGCTCAAGGAGGCCAGCGACAACGATTTGGCCAAGGCCAAGACCAATATCAAGTCCAAGTCCAAGCCCTTCAAGGACCCGGCGGCGGTCGAGCCGAAGCGCGCCACCTTCGAGGAGAGAAGCGCTGCCGCCCAGGCCTGCGGCAAGTGCCTCCCGCGCAAGGACGGCCCCAAAGGGTGCCGAGCCTGCGTTGACGAGCGGTTCGAGGTCGTGCGCAAGAGAGGTTTCTTGGCCAGGAGCGCCAAGGACCTCTCTTGCGCGTGCAAGTTGTAGCCGCGATACTCGAAATCTCTCGGGTCAGTCTTGTGCCGAGATCTACAAGGTCAGTCTACGCGAGCGCCCAGGATCATCCTCATCATCGGCAGCGTCGGCGTCATCGCCACCTTCGCCGGGAAAATCGTCGATTGTCCCCGCCAGGCCCCCGGACTTTATTATCCCCGCGGGATTATTATCGGCAGCTCTCGGTTATGCTCATTTATATACACACTATGTACATACGCCGGGTATCTGCTTAAGAGACCTCCTCCCGAAACGTTGGGCCATCGTTTCTGGGTCAACTTGCTGGGGAGCTGGCCCAGTTTCCTGAGCGCGTTCTCGCTCCCCCAGCGACAGCAACAGTAGTTGGCCCAATTGTGCACGTTTTCGAAACCTGCGGCAAGCGGGCCCAGATCTCTTGAATGATGATGTGTTGCTTGATTATGTGTTTGGTAGTACTTGTACAAACAGCTGGCACATGTATATGCGTATTGTTTCTTCTATGAATTTGACCCCGCGTGGGCTAAAATCCTCGTGGGGGTGACCTTTCGACAGCGTGACCCTTTGTGCGGGTCCACACGGGTCCCCCTTGAAGCACCAGCGTACCGGGTTGGATGAGGCTTCCCACGCCCGCTGGAAGCGGAGCGCCAGCGGCCACGCGTGCCCAGAGTCACTCTTGCGTGTTGCCGATGTCGCGGAAGAGAAGGAGGAGGAGGAGGAGGAGGAGGAGGAGGAGGAGGAGCCTAGACCCCCTCGAATCATGCAGATGTCACGACGGGAGGGTTCTCTTTATTTTCCGCCCCCGGGGGCCCTTACTGGCTCTGGGGGCCGTCAAAAACGACTCAGCGTCAACAGCGACTCAGGATAAGCGCCCGGTCCTTGGGAATGAGTCGAGACCTCCTAGTGTCGACGCTATGGAAAAGATAGCGTCGCGGGTCTGTGAAGATCGACGAGATGTGGGGGCGTTTTTGTCTCATGCTTGGGCCTCCGGAGTCGTCATGGCCCAGACTTCTGGCGTTTCGTGCTGAGCAGTTGTTGGTGACCGTCCCAGCGCCAGTATATGTTCCTTACTCCAAATATCTTATTAATCGTTCCCCCGGTCTGGTTGTTTAAGGCGTTCTTTTTGTAACGGGGGGGGTCTGGTTTACTAGGGCGCTTTCTTTGAGGTGGAGCTTAGGGGGTCAAGTTTATTGAGGCGCCCCGTCGAAGAGGGGGGTCCGGAATATTAGGTCGCATTTGGAGGGGGGTCCGGTTGTTTCGGGGGGGTCGATTAATAAGGGATTTGGAGTAGTCGCCAATTGGTTGTTGGTGTTCCTGCTGTGCATGTTGTTCCCGATTCTGCTGCTTTGTCTCGCTCGCCCTTTCTCGGCCTAATCGGGAAAAGCGCCACAGGCACGCGAGAGCATCGAGATTCGTGCCATCGCCTTCTTCACCGAGGAAGGGACCTGTCTCGACTGAGCCTCGCGCTCTGCCGCCCGCGCGGCGTTTGAAGTTCCTCCACGACGAACAAGTGAGAAAGGGGGTCCTGAGGCAAAGGTGTCCTGGCGTCCTGGTGCTTCTTCTCCGCGCTCGGGCTCTCAGGCCAACAGGGGAGAGGTGACTAGGGGGGGTTGGATATCATGGCGTGGGCCATGATACATCCTCAGATGTCATAGCGGCTCTTCTTATTTCACTACGTCCCTGCCCGCCCCCTGGGCCGCGCATATGCCGCAGGCCATGATTCGTACCCCTCCCTCTTGGACGCCCCCCTCTTGGCCGCCCCCGACTCTGGGCCCCGCTGGCCTGTAGAATCGCAGCTCGGGATGAGAGGCCCGTCCCAGGGCAAGGCCTGGGGCCCAGGACCAGGCCCCCCTCAAAAGATCCCTTTCTCTTGTGGCCGCTGTTGCCATCACGACGCTTGAAAGTAGGGCCGCCCCGCAGGATGAGCGGCCCGTTTTGTTTGTTTAAAGGAGCGCGTCTCTTGCTCCGCCCCCAGCGCAGATTGCCCTGGCCCTGTGGGCCTGCGGCCTGGCGGCCAGGCCCCCCCTGCGCTGCGAGGCCGAAGGCTCGGGAGAGGGGGGAGGGGAGGGAGGCGGGAGCCGAAGGGGGAAGGACGAGGGGGAGGACCGGAGGACGGAGAGGAGGACGGGGTCAGGCGATCGCAAACATGGATCAAGGGGGCGTGGATTAGCGACGGGTCCCGTTTCCATGGGGAATCGTATTTCCGCCGCCGAGCGAGGGGGCACCGGCCGCATTTTGGGGAGGACGCCTCCCGCGATCCCTGCATTTGGCGACCGCGCGCCAAATCCATGGACCGCTCATCCAGGTTTGCGCGCCCCCGAGAGGATGGGGGCGGGGCAGGCAGAGGGGCTGGAGTGAGCCTGGGCAGGAGGTAAGGTGCATGTTGCCAAGTGGAAGGCCCCAGGGGAGAGGGAGGGGAGTGGGAGAGGAGGAGGAGGAAGAGGAGGTGGAGGAGGAGGAGGCGAAGAAGGATGATGAGGAGGAGGAGGAAGAGGAGAAGGGAGGGCCACATCCGACGGAAGTTCAGACCATCAGCTCACAGCTCACAGGACGAGGAGGAGGACAACGCGGAGGAGGAGGAGGAGGAGGAGGAGGAGGAGGAGGAGGAGCAGGAGCAGGAGGAAGAGGAGGAGGAAGAGAGGGAAGACAGTGTCTGGCCTGCGGGCAATTTGTTTCGGGCGCGCAAATTGCTTTTCCGAGCGGAATGTCGCGTATGTGTCCAAGCGAGCCTTGCGCGTTCGTCTCGACCGTCTCCACACGCGCTCCGTCGTTATTTTGAAATGGCGTTGCTTGCCGTAATGGCTTAGTCGGGCCTTCCGTTTGAGAGAGCTCGGCACTAATATCATGCTATCATGTAGCGCTGGTGTGCGCCCGTACGGAAAACAGAGCTCTTCGGCTTAATCGTTCAGGCAGCGCCGGGAGCAGTGTCGCACAGGTCAGTTCGTTCCTCCTTTTCGTCTCTTCCTCTTCTTCGTTCCTCTCGCCGCACCCGACTGGTCGCACTCTCCAGGTTCGACACCGTCGGTCTTCAATGCATAGCGACTCTCTGCATAGTCGAAGTGTGGCTGCATTATTTTGCAATTTCAACGAGGAATTCAGTGTCTCCCTTCCTCCTTCTCCTCCCCGACACAAAGATTAATTGTTTTTGTGTAGCCGTTGTCGAGCATGGCACATGGCATCCACGTTCGCACCGCGATGTGGTTGTCAGAGCTGTCTCGCGAAGACCTTTCGCGAGAAGACCTTTCGCGATGTCATTGTCTGAACTGGCAATTGGCACCTCGAAGAGACCATTCGCGACAAGTGCGATGTCGTCTCGTGCGGCCACGAGAAGCCAAACCTGGAGCTAGACACGCACCAAGCGGCCCTGTCAGTAATGCGGAGAACTGGAAGCTAGAGAAAAAAATGTTCGTCGAACCAAGGATGCTAAGGATAGTGGTGGGCCACTGGCCACCACCAACCAAAGCACCCAACCCGACCCGAAAGCCCCACTCTACCCTCCATCCCCAGTGCGGGGACAGTCCTGAACATGGAGTAACAAACAAGCATGTCACCTGTAGACCCCCCAGCCCAAGAGTTGGGACGTCGGTTTTTTTTCGGGGGGGGCGGTCTGGTAGGTGGCCTACTGGGAAACACGCGGGCCACCCCCGTGCATGGCGGCGCAGGAGAGTGTTGCTCCCGGAAGCGCCGCTGGACTCTGTGGCGGGCGCCGGGCCCTTCCGCGTCGGCGCGCGGGCCTCGCACGGTGCGGGGGTCTCCGCTGGCCAGTGGCGCGGGAGACGCTCGGGCCACTGCAGAGCGCAGTGGCCCTCTGGCCACTCTCGGGGGTCGCCGTTGGAGTCTCTGGGCCATGAGTGGGAGTCTCCCGGGGGTCCGCGTTGGCCCGTTGCACAGCTCGGCGGCTCCTGTTCGCGAGCGCGGGCGCCTGGAGATGCCGAGAAGCCCAGCGGGTGACGACGGGGACGGTGCAGAGCGGCTGCGCCCTCTCCTCCTCCTCCTCCTCCTCCTCCTCCTCCTCCTCCTCCTCCTCCTCCTCCTCCTCCTTTTCCTCCTCCTCCTCCTCCTCCTGTTCCTCCTCCTCCTTCTCCTCCTCCTCCTCCTTTTTCTCCTCCTCCTCCCTCCTCCTTCTCCTCCTCCTCTCCCTCCTCCCTCCTCCTCCTCCTCCTCCTCTCCTCCTCCTCCCTCCTCCCTCCTCCTCCTCCTCCTCTTCCTCCTCCTCCTCCTCCTCCTCCTCCTTTTCCTCCTCATCGGCGGAGTGCATTCGGACTGCCCCGCTCCCTCCGCGGCGATCCATTTTGCATCGCCCCTGCGCGCGCCTCTCGCCGCTTGGATTCCGCATGACTTCCCGCCCTCGCTATATCCGCCTCCCTCCTCGCTCGGCTCGACCATCCGTCTTCCTCCCCTCGTCGAGCTCCCACCCCCCGCGCCCAAGTGCGTCTGCGGACGCGCGCAACGCGGACCGCCCGATTTTGGCATTCAGCCAGGCACTGTTGAGGCTGTTGACCACTGCTCCTCTGGGAGGTTCCAGTCCTAGCACCTTCGAGGGTTGGACCTGTCATTCACCCTTTGGGATGTAGCCAAGGAGGTACCCGAGGAGGTGCCCAAGGAGGTACCCAAGAAGATACCCAAGGGCTTACTTGAGGAAGTACCCAACGATCTAACCAAGGAGGTGCCCCAGGATGTACTTGCAGAGGTACGGCCGAAACCTATCACAGGGATCACCAGGACTGGTTCCCTGACGACCGCTGGCAAGCAAAAGGCGACTATGGGTACTTTCCTCCTAGCGCCAGCCAATGGTGGATAGATTTCTGCTATGCCTCCGACTTTGAGGATAGGTCCTGCTCCTGGCCAAATGCTGGATCCGGACTTTCCTGCAAGTTCGCAGGCACCAGTAGTTCTCCGACGGCCGCTTAATCCTCGAAGATGAATTAGGTACCCTTAAAGCTTTTTTAAAACAAAAAAACAACAAAAAAAAAACTCCTCCTCCTCCGCCTCCTCCTCCTCCTCCTCCTCCTCCCCTCCTTCCGCCCGCCGCAGAGTTTGCGCGGGACCCCCCCCCTCTGGAGGGCCTCCCTCGCCCTACGTGGAGCCCTCTCCGGGGATGTCGTCGTTGTCGTCGTCGTCGTCGAGGCGGAGCGGGGGGGCGGGTGAGGGGCTGCCCCTCCTCGCCCCTCCGCCTCTCCCGCTAGTGGTGACGCTGAGGCGCTGGACAAGATGGGTCTCCGGAGGGGGCTCTGGGCTCCAGGCCGCTCCGCAGACCTGGGCGCGGTTGGGCCCGGGGCGCGGCCGAGGCTCGCCGTGGCCAGGAGAGCCCCTGTCATTCCCTGTTGTGTGCAGCGCTCGGTACTGGCAGCCTGAGGGCTGTAGGATGCAGGAGGGGGGGTGGGAAGGGGGGGTGGGGAGGGGGAGGAGGGGAAGAGGGAGGGAGGGGGGAGGAGGGAGGGGAGGGAGGAGGGGGGGGGGGGAGGGAGGATGGGGAGGAGGGGGAGGAGAGGGGGAGAACGGTGAGGAGGGAGGAGGAGGAGGAGGCGGAGGAGTAGGAGGAGGAGGAGGAGGAGGAGGAGGAGGAGGAGGAGGAGGAGGAGGAGGGGGTGGAGGACAAGCTAGGTGCGCTCGCGTCATATCTGACGTCCTACCCCTCCCTCCCATCCGTTGACCATGGCGCAGATATCCTCGATTCGCACAGTAGGATGTCGACCAGGGCAATGATCGCGAGAGGGTACGCGATGCATGGAAGAACACGGCATGGCATACCATAGAAGAGCACGGCCGAGCGGAGCATGCCATAGCATGGCGTGGCATTTCGCAATGAAGCATTGCACCACAAAGCATTGCAACGCAAAGCATGGCATCGCACAGCGGCGCAGAACACAACACCGCACAGCATGTCATGGCATGGCGCCAGGTTCTTTGGAGGGTAAGTGGATCGTCTTCGAGAGGTGTGTGGGGCAGTCTGGAGTCGTGGCTCCATGTATAGCTCCTTGGACTCCCCGAAAAGTTCCACGTAAGGCGGGGCTGATGGAGAGCGTCCGCTGGCTCTGCTTTCAACATCGCCTTCTCAAAACAGAAACGGGGCTCCTGCTTGATGATTTCTGGAAACGACGACGCCCCAAGGGGGGGGGGCTCCTGCGGCCCAAGAACTCAACGAATCATTCCGATGGAACAAGAAAGCCAGCGAAAACCATGTTCCTGGGAATCCTGTGTAACAAAAAAAAACATATGCGGAGGGCCGGCCGGATATTTTCCTGACGTCTTCAGGGGAGAGAGGAGATTAGAATTCATATTGTGTAATTGTTGAGGAGGAGGGAAGAGGAGAGGGGGCTGGGAGGGAGGGAGGAACGGGGTGGTCGGATGCAGGACAGGGGGCTCGCTCGCTTCACGCTCCGATGTCGCGCGTGCCGCTCTCGCATCACAGAGGCGAGGTGCAGGACGAAACAGCTGGGAAGTATTGGAGGGATCGCTCGAGTCAGCTGCCGTGGCGAAGTGCACATGA